ATCAATATAGTTTATTTTTTCCAGACTCCACCAGAGATAGTGTCAACAACGGAAGCATTGCTCGTAAAATTCCGAACAGACGATTCGATAGTATTCAAAGGTTTTTCGGCGTCTTATCAAGCTGTCAAACCGGAGCTGTGGAGCGAAGAGGATAGTTCTGAAGGTGGAGAAATGGAAGAGGAAGATGAGCGTATGCCTCCCTTGGTGGTAGGCAGGCGAGGCATGCGAGCTCCATTGCCGAGGTTTGTGAGGCGGCCCACGTGACGGTGGCCGATCAAAAGACATCCGAGACATCGGCGGCCACATCGCAACAGTAATCGATTCAAATCGGAAAACGGCGCAATGTAAACGATTCTTTTGACAAATAATGATGTTGCCATAATAAAAAAAATCAAAGCCGCTGAACATTCTGACATTGCCAAGTTTTTGTGATTATAAAATGGAAGACATCCTGAGATTATTTATGGTATATACGACATTCCCAAGTTATTTTTTTTATTTTAATTATTAAGCAAATTGCTGAAAAATTAGTATTTCCCTTACAAGGAAAGTTTTTGAATTGGTTTCGTTGACTGATTGAAAATGTAAATAAATTATTCTTTAGGAAAACTTAGGTGTAATACTTAATTCCGATAGCGGTTACCAAAAATACTCAGTCATTTAGATCATAATAAACAAGTTTTATACGTGCCATACCGAGTACACATGTTAAAACCAAAGATTCCTTTTTCGTTACATTTCTGTGCCATAAACCATTTGTTTTTTACTTATGCCAAATAGATTTTTTTCAAATAATAATATACAATCCTTTGTACTTATTCGATATGATTAATATTTTCTACTATAAGAGTGCAATGCCATAATTCATGTTTTTGTATTTAATGGAATTTATATAGTAAGTGTGTTAAGAGCTATAAAGCTATAGAATGTAATTAAAATGACAATACAAAATTAAATTATAACTTTTTAAATAATAGGGGTTCAAACTCATGTCACACTATATTGTTTATGGTTACTTGCGTTAAGCAAGTGATTAACAATTTTACATGTAAATGTAAATGATGTGAGAAAAGTACATATAGAATATCGTTCATCTTTTAACTGCCATATAAAATACTTTTTCAGCTTGTTATTTATGTAATAGACTAATCCAATTAATCAATAACTATTGTAAAATTAAATTAAAACGACCATGTTATACTTTTAGTACAGTTAGTGGTTATATTCAGATATCGTAGTACGGTCTTAAAATATAGAATCGATCTACGAATTAAAATTGGTACCAATTCTAAGATTACTTTTGTGTAAAATGTTTAGATAGTTACGATTATTGTGCCAAAACTTGATACTTACCTAGTTATAGTTTATTTAAGTTAGTGTTTTGTAATGTAGAACTTATTTATATGTAGAAAGGTTACATAATATTATTTTTATTAAACCAAGAAAAAGAAACTTGCCTTTCATTGAAAACTTTAGCAATGAATTCATACTATTTTGATTGATATGATCACATATTTTATTATTTTCTTTCATCGTTTACCATGCTAAAACATCTACGAAAATTCAATGGCGTTCCTAATTTTAAATATAATAAGAAGGACAAAAAGGATTTTTTTCTGGATTTGGATCTGAACTTAATCTTAATTAATAGGGTACTAGCTCTCGTCCGCGACATTGTCTGCGTTGGATTAAAAGAAAAAACAAAATATGTGTTCTTATGTATATCTTTGTGGTTTTCCAGAGTATCCTCTATCTATGCCAAATTTCATCAAGATCGGTTCAGCTGTTTAGGCTACAAACTCTAACAAATATCCATCCATCCTCCCTAACTTTTGTACTTATGTTATTTGTAAAAATATGTTTATGTCATAGACAATTACGTTTCAATAATTTATTGGTGACATGGTAACATTGATCAATAAGTGTCAAACAATTCAAACTGAAACTTGAAATCAACCTCTCAATCTGTCAGTGTCACGATTTTACAAACCCATTTGTGTCACGTCGAAAAAGTTCATACGTAATGTTATTTATTTATGTGATTTCCTTTTTGTTGCAAACTTTCTGACGAATAGCCACATTCTTGAAATCTAACAGTGACAAATCAATTTCACATAACACAAATGGCTGCGATAGCTTTAAAGATTAAAAATAAGGATGGACAGCATGTTTTAAAAGATTTGACCTCTGAAAGTACAGTGGGCGAATTGAAAATATTTCTTTCTAGTTTATCAGACGTTGGTATAGAAAGAATTCACGTGTTATTTGGTTATCCACCGAAGCCTCTCGACATTAGTAATGACAACAAAAAGTTAAATGAAATCGGTTTAAAAACTGGTGAAACTTTAATATTGGAAGAAAAACAAGCTCAAGAAAATACGCAGAAAAATGAACCACAGAAGCCTGTAGAAAACGGTGTAGTATCTCACGAGACTATAGGATCGTGTAGACCTGGAATTCTAATGAAAAAAGTAGTCCCTCCAGATAACTCTTGTTTATTTACTAGTATAGGTAAGTCATTCAAAGTATATGTTTTTACTATGGTTACAAAGTCTTAGAAGAAAAATGTTACGATGGGACTACAAGGTGGCAATAAAATTCAAAGATGTATCAACACATACTAGGCAAGCATGGTTGCTAAGGTCTAGTGAGATTTGAACCCTCAGTGGAGACATAAATGAGCTGACTGTACAAAATATATAACTTTTACACTACCCAGTGTAATTATGCTAATTATTTGACAATTATACATGAAAATAAGAGTATATTTAACAAAATAGACAAGAATTTTTATTTGATACTTATGGACTTACAGGTTTTGTACTAAATGGTAATGTGGATACTAGTGTCCATAGTTTAATGAGACAGATTATTGCTATGGAAGTGGCGAGCGATCGTGAGACTTACAATGAAGGAGTGCTTGGTCAGCCGAATGCAGATTATTGTGCCTGGATTCAGCAGCCAAGTTCCTGGGGCGGTGCTATAGAGGTATACAATACATTTGTCATTTTAAATATACTGTGACTGACTTATTGCAACCTATAATAATTTAAGTCAAATTTAAATTAAATCTAAAGGTGCGTCTGAATGTTTAGAAACTTGCACCAATAGTTTTATTATTAAATTTGCTAAGAATAAATATCCCAGCATTGGTATTATGTAACTTTGTTATAACATAAGTTATGCAATTGGAGAGAATTGAATATTTATAAGTGTTGAGTCTGTAGTGTTTATTTCACTTATAAAAATCATGTTACAGTATAACACTGTATTAATGTTTTCAAATGTTGTACAAGTTTGGAACATTGTACAAGTTGTCAGGATGTTGGGAAAGGTCAACTGCAGTGTACACATGTCCTTGAGCCACTAAGATATTTGAAATGATCAATACCAAATGAATTGCAAGTTACGATCTTGGTTTAGAATATTCATAGATATTTTTGTTTTCAGGTTGCTATATTATCTCGTTTCTATGGTATTGAAATGGCGGTTGTGGATACATTAAATGCAATTATTAATAGATTTGGTGAGGATAAGAATTATGGGCAGAGAGTGTTTCTGTTGTTTGATGGAGTTCACTATGACCCTCTCTATTTGGAGCAGTCTGATGTAAGTATAATTTTAAGAGTAATATACAGCTTTACAAATAAACATGGTATAAAGTTAAACTTTTACAGTAGTAGTGCCTGCTTTAACATCTTAGCACTGCAGGGCCGGCATGCCCGGTGTAATACCACAACCACACAGAAGACAGGCGTAAAATGGAAGCAATTCCATCTTTCGTCTGATGAGTGGTGAGTTTGAGGAAAACACTGATGCTGCATATATCAGCAAAGAAAGTAGAACCTAGTGGTTGTCTAGTTGTGTAGATTCTGCCCCTCATAATGAATGTATAACTAGTGATATTTTTTTCAGGGTGGTCTACAAACGATATTTCCTTCTGAGGACATGGAAATTTACAGAGAGGCGGAACAATTAGCACATGAGGCTAAATCCTCGCGTCAATTTACTGACCTTAATAAATTCACGCTTAAATGCCTTGTCTGCAATAAGTTCCTCACGGGGCAGGCGGAGGCGCAGCGCCACGCTAAAGAAACTAAACACACTAACTTTGGAGAATTCTAGCATCATTGGGCTCAATGTAGATTATTAATTTTATAACTGGCAACTTTAAATGTCTATGGTCGAAAGTCACAAATTTGACAGTTAAAAATGAATTTTAACGGCTCCAACGTAGACTGTCGTAAGTTTAATTTTGCGATTCACACCTTGTTTTATGTTTTGTAAAGTGAGTACTAATTTCAAATTGTTAGAAAAAACTGTAGATTTTAGCTGTCTCTATGTTGTATATTTGATATGTTGTAATTAATCGTATTAATGCTTTGTAAAATCTCCGTTTCAAACATACGATAATTTACATAGGAGCCGTCTATTTGTTATTACTGTTCTTATTGATTTTGTTATAGCGTGGAAATATAAATTTGTTTAGCACATATCTCGAAATTATTGTATATTATTAAATTAAATAAAATCTATATTTCTATTTGACAAAAATCTCTTATTGACATAGGTATAGTGGTACAAACTTATCTCACTTGGTGTGGCGCTGTTATCGCGGTTAGTTTTATCAAAAAAATATCTTGGCAAACAAAGTAAAAACATGTTACAATGGCTATTTTAGTATTTCTGCCCACTAGGCCAGATACATTTGACGAACTGTACGTAATTGTCATAAACCATGCTATTGGGAGCGAATAATAGTGATTTAACTATTTTAAAAATCAATAAATTTGTCATTTGTTTTATAGTGTTATAAATTACTTTGAAATTGTTTTTCCGTCCTGAGTTTCTTTGTCTTTTTAGTACTAAATCACAATAAACCCAATTTATATTTAAAATGAATGTTAGTGCCCTTTTGATTTTATTAGGAAGGAAGTGTGTTCAATTTTACGGTAAATTCTAAAAATAGACAGTTTTAAATTTGCCAAGAAGCATATACATTAGAACCTCGGGAAATAAAAACCTGTATAACTTCAAAAAATAATATGTTCCCTTCCTATCAGAGCCCAAAACCTCTATAACATGGACCCTTGATAACTTAAAATATTTTGTGTTCCCCTTGGACTTTAACTTATCGAGGTTCTGCTGTATAATTAACACATTAAATGCCATCGAACGGTTTTACGAGAGCTTACGTATGGCATTGAATGTGTTTGGAAGAATTATTTTATTACTAGTTAGAAATGCTAGTTTAGCTTTTTCATGCATCACTGCCATTAATATTAAAAACGATTGACACAAGACTAATATCACAAACATGTTGCCTTAGAATAATTGTTAATAAAATCTATTAAAAAGTTTGGGAAAAATGGGTAGTTTTGACAATTTGTGTGATCGCCATTTCTCCAAGACCAGGATAAAAATGATTTATTTATAGAGGATTACCGATTTTTACCATAATAAATATTTCACGAACCAAAGTAATCGATTTTTTATTTACAACCTTTGTGTACCGTAAGATTTAAACTGTTTAGTATGGTATTTACAGTGTTTTTTGTAATTACACGTATTGCCGCTAAGGGGTAATAGAGGGGATCATTTGTGATAATTTTGACCCCTTATGCAAAAGTTAATAATTTTGGAGTTAGGTTTTTTTTGATTTTTTGAAAATACGTCAAAAATGTATTTAAAAAATGTGGGTGATAAAATATTTTTTCTTCAGAATTGATAAAATATTATACAATATTATATTAATTATCTGTCCAAATTTAAAAATGCGAGCTAAAGAATCATTTTTCTACATAAAATGAAATATACTAGATAACTAAATAGTAAATAAACTAGCTTTTGTCAAATAATGAATTGAATTGTTTTTGTAAAATTTAACTTATTGATTGTTTTTAAATAAATTTTTCATTTATTTTGAAAACAGCTAAAAATCATGATTACTCAAAAATTGTTAACTTTAGCATAATTAATATGTGGGTGAATTATCAAAATTATCACAAATTGTCACCTAATGAGAATACGTTACGATTACCAATAACTCTGTTTATGTAAAATGCATATATGTTTTTGGAAGGATGTTAATTACGTGGTAACAATCAAAAGATATATTCTGACTGATGAAAAAACAAATAGATGTCAATTGAGTAGCTATTTTTAGTTCCACGAGAACTAAGCCGCGGGGAACAGCTGAAAACGGGTGATAAATAAAACAAAATGCTTGATTTATTCGATTTATTTTTAACACAAAAATGTACAATGTCAATAAATATAGCTAGTCACATCGGCTTTCTATCACTTGTCCAATAATTTCTTTACTCACTTTATACAAGTTGTTATACAACTTAACCCTTATCTTTACCTCACGCTAACACTCGTCTAGGGATGGCCCATGTTGATACAAAAACATCGATAACGCGATATTAGTTTCTCTTCATTATTGTTAAATAAATCATCTAAAATTAAATTGAATGTACAGCATTAATTACTTTAAATAACAATAAATTTTATTTAAAAATGTTCGAAGATAAGTAACTTAGCAAGAATAGTGAATGCTAAATTCCATATAATGTAAGTTTAAAATACCTTAACAAAAATGTTTCCAAGTAGACGAAGGTAGATTTTGTATTGTAGTGTAGATTTACATAAAAGTAACGTAATCGACGTTAGAATAACATGGACCATCCCTTTTTTTAGTTGTGCAGTTCCCGGGCCATCCATAGACTATCGATATCCAGACTTTACAACACTATTGCAACACTAACGTATACAATGTGTTATATTTCTAACAGATAATAAATATCAATTATATTCTTACACAACCTTCAGTGTCCCCGATATTGTATTTGACCTGATCTCCGATACCATGCCTTGATATGAAATGTTTGTTTAGCGTTATACAATTTATAACATAAAAAACATATTTAACAGTTTAATAAATGTCGTTGTCAAACCAATATCTGTATTTTAGAACTAGAAACATTTCATCATCACCAGCTCACTATACATCCCCACCAAGGGGCTCGGAGCTTACCCTAAGTAAGGGGTGACTAGGCCATAGTTAACCACCCTGGCCTAGTACGGGTTGGTTGACTCCACACATATCTTTGAATTTCTTCTCCGATGTGTGCATCACGACGTTTTCCTTCACCGTAAGAACGTCGGGCAAATTATGTACATATGAAAATTCGAAAACCGAAAAACACATTGGTACAGCGGGATTCGAACCCAAGACCTGTAGATTACAAGTCAAGTGCTAAAACCACTGAGCCACCGACGCTCTCAAAAACATTTGCTAGATTTCAAAGACAAAATAAACTTTAGCTAGAGTTAATAAAAAATAAATTTTCTTTAAATACCACTTTTATAATTATTTAATAGAGTTTTATAAAACATCGTAATTAAGACATGATAGATAAGGTTTGACAACAAATCCTGTTTTATCACTTCTGGGGTACATACAAAATAAGTCCAATGGAGCAAATATTGAACTAATTCAGTGTTAGAAATGAAATTCGGTGCAAGTAAAGCGTACTATGGATGAGCCCAAACTATTGCGACTTTACGTAAGCAATAAACATGATTATAAAGAAAATAGTTCACTCTATTTCAAATAAGGAAAAAAATAGTCATATCCTTATCATGCAATATTGCTATTTAAAAAAAATATGTAACTAAAATAAAAAATTAGGAAGTTTAAATTTTTTTTTCTTCCTTAGCTCCACAGCCCTTTGTGGGCCTTGGCTTGGTCAAGAAATTTTTTCCTTCGGTCTTTTAGTGGCTACCGGTTTCCAATTTATTGTTAGAATGTCTTTTTTTATAAATTAGGTTATACCTTTTTATTTGAAAGGAACAAAAAAAAGTTTTTTTATGTTATAAAGTTTAGCCACGGATAATCGTAAAATAATTTTTTAATATCTAATTTTTTCAATTTGAGTAAAAGCCGCTATATTTTTTACTAAACGCATTAGAGGTTAGGTTAGTAAAGAAAAAAACAAGGGCGAGAAGTGTTTATATTTCTGTCCTAATTTGAAACAAAGTGTAATTTTCTGTTTATCGCGTTTATTGCTCGTAAATCGCTTTAGTTAAATCTAAAAAAGCTGTTATACAAATATATTCAATCACTTTCTACCTACAAGCCTAAAATAATCTCGATTATAAAAAAATCGCAATTCTCCAATAATTTTAAATTTTTTGTGTGAAATATTCCTTATTTTGGACAATATTTTAACATTGCCTTAAATAAGCAATATAATAAAATATTACTCGTTTTGTAAGAAAAATAGGAGCAACTTTTCATATATTTTTTTTTAATTTATGGACATTTTGAAATATATTAATTTTTATCTAATTTAATTTATCTATTCATATTTTAATTAGAATATTCCTTGTGCGTGAAAAGTTGCAACTATTCTAATGAGATACGAATAATTAAACTGTCGCGACTATGTCCTAATGGGGTGGGTAGAAGTAAATTTATCAAACCCATTGTAAACGGAGCTTAAAAAAAAGGATACTTGAAGTCATCATTTTTTATAACGTACTAAAGGTTTATGATTCAACCATACTCAAAAAAAATATAAAAGAAAAAACTATATAAAACACAAATTGATTCACGATCTTCAAATATTTATAAAATTATCAACAATAGCTCTTGATTTTTTGTAAAAAAAAAAAACAAAAAAATCCCAAATTACATTCAGGAATATTTTAGTCGTTCGAGTTTTTTACATATCAGGATAAAAGATAATGCAACGAATTTAATTTCTATATGGCAGTAATAAAAAAAATAAATGCTACCTAAGCGAAATACATTATGGTTTCTATCGACGGCATCGACATACAAAAATAATTTTATGATTTTTTTCGACTATTTTTTTTATTTCGATTGAACCTATCTATTTATGTCGATTTTAATAATGTAAAAGGCCCATTTTCGAAATAAGGGATACAAAAAAATTTTTTTTCATCTGAAAAAAAAACCGTCAACATTCACTTGAAATAATTTACTAGAAAATGATTTATTTATAGTATTAAAGTATTCGAGTAAATTAAAAATCGCTAAAAAAATGGGCCTCTTACAAAGCGACATTAATATGGCATTAAGAAATCGCAAAAAATATAGAAAAGATATTGTAGTCTATAAAGTCACAAAGCGTATGAATTTAGAATATTAGGCTGTCTTTAAATAAGTTTTTGAATAAAGCAAACTATTTAGAAGAAAAAGTAGGCGTTCAATTATGTTAATTTGGCGAATTTTACAATTGCCTAACTATTGTTTAAAGTATTAACAAAATTTCACTATTTAATTGTTTAAATTAACATCAGAGGTCTGTTACTCTTTCATAGTTATTAGCGTCAATGTCCTTTTATTTTAATGGACCTAGGTCCAGACGTCTATAGATTGTAGACCTAGGTCCAAAAAACGTAGATTTAGTAGTAGAACTTAAGACCTAGGTCTAAGACTTATGACATCGATCTAAAGCTTAGTATAATTCGAAGGTTACTAAACTTTAGCCCTAGGCCTAGAGGTCTGTAGACTTTAGCCTTAGTCCTGAAGGTCTTTGAACTTAAGCCCTAAGCCCTAAGACAATAGGCCTAAGTCTAGGACTGTACATTTTTGACCTGGGGTCAAGGTTTGTAGATTTTAGCCCTAGGGCAAAGACTAGACTTCTAGACCAAGGCCTAAAAACTTTGCCCTAGAGACTAATTGTCTGTAGACTTTAGTGATCTAAAAGACTAGACTTAGCCCTAGACCTAAATGTCTGGAGGCGTGTGTATGTATGGATGTTTACTGCTGCGGCTTAGCGAACGAGAACCTGGGTAGGCAGATGCCGAACTTAGTCTCCAGTCCAGTGAGCACTGGCGTGGCGACCTGGTAGCCGCCGATGTGGTCCGCCTTCTTCTTTGTCTCCTCTATCGGAGTGGCCACGTGTAACTCTGATCCTGTCGGACGGCTGGGGAAATAGATATTTTTATTATTTCAGTAGTAAAAATAAATACACAATTACTATGTTAAAAAGCTTGTAAGTAAATATTTGAGAAGAAACTTTTTATTGTACCGTTTTTGTTGAAATATCCTTAACCTTTATAGATAAATTACATATGTATTTCACACTAGCTTCCGCCTGCGACTCTGTACGGGAAATTAAATAAATCGAAAGTATGTAGCTCGTGTTCTTTCAGACTATTTTTATTTAAAAAAACTAGACTAGTAAAACTAGAGATGTTAGATATGGCATATGCTAAATTTCATTAAGATTAGTTCAAAAGTTTTGGCTACAAACATCCATCCATCTATCAAAACATTTGCAAAATTGCAAGAGACGGAGTTTGTGACGTTGCAAGTAAGTGGTACACCGCGTATTTCCTTGACTGTACTTAAGTTGTAATGTTTTTTTTTATAATAATTTTAGTAATACTCACGATCCGCCGAAGTCGACGTAGAATAAGCGCTGTAAGATCTCGTAAGTGACGAGTGTGACGCCGAACTGCGGCGACGAGCGGAACACACGCGCTGGAAAAAAAATTAAAAATAAAACATAATAATTTAAACTATTTTTACTAGATTGACATAGTAGGGGCTACGACTAGCGTAATTCTCAACGACATGCATATTTTGAGTGACAAAGGTCATATTTTGCGCGTATGTCTTTTTGTATGTATATTGATTCCTTTGTAACAGGCTACAGCTTATATGACTGAACCGATTTGGACTAATAAGGTGTCATTCGATTCGTCTTCTTCCTAAGAGTGTTATAGTTTATATAAAATTGTCACAAAATACCTACAGTTTACGTAAGAAGAAAAAATCTAAAAATACAGTCAAAAAGCTGACGTCAAATCTCGATATTTTTTTTCCATTTATGCATAGTTTTTTCGATGTTTTTGACTATATTAGAGTTAGTCGGTTATTTTTGGTTTTTGATGTAAGTTATTTGCATTAGAATTAATTTTTAACATATACTGACCAACAGCTCCCTTCCAGAAAGCTCGCGCGCCTTCCTCGGCGTATATCTTGCGAGTGGCATCGATGACACCGTTGTATGTAGTTTGTCCTGACCTGGCTACCACCTGTAAGCAATAAGTTTATAAATGTGTGGTTTTCTTTAGTTAAAAAAGAGCCTTGGCCTGTGACATTATCGTTACCATGGCCACCTTGCTTCCTTGATGTTGCCAGTTGTAACTTTTTGTCCCTATCCAGCAAGAGGGTCATATTTAATATTTACTAATTCCCTAATTTTAATAGCGTGAAAAAAAAGCCTGAAGATTGTAACTGTAGGATTTTTTATAAAAAAAATATTCAACAATACTATTATTGTTGACATCCTACGCCACGAAGTAGTGTGTTTACGCTTCTTTATATTAGTATAGATAGAGATAGAAGTATAGTATGGATAATCGACTATAAATTAGGTTTTTTTCAATAAATACAATCGCATGATCGTATAGGTAATGTTATATTTAATTTTGAATAATCCATACAAATATTATAAAGATTTGCATTTTTGTATGAATTGAAATAACTCAAAAATTACTGGGCCGATTTTAAAAATTCTGTCATCGTTAGAAAGGTAATTTATCACTGAGTAACTTAGGCTATACATATTTTTTAATTTCACGGGAACAAAGTCGCGGGCAACAGCTAGTCGTGTGTAATGTATGACGTCACCTGTAGACGTGTCTTGATGACGTCAGCGGGCGTGACGAGCGAGGCGGCGGGGATGCCGGCGATGGCGCCCGCCGCCAGCAGCGTCAGCGGGTGGTTGTAGCCGTTCTCGTCCGCGAACTTCGCCTGGAACCACACCATACACAACTTCAGATACACCATAGACATAGATATACACCATAGACATAGATATACACCATAGACATAGATATACACCATAGAAATAGATAGGGACCATAGACAACTTGATAAACCGCTTTAACATCATAGCACGAATGGGCCGGCAAGCCCGGTGTAATACCACGACCACACAGAAGACAGGCGTTAATTGGAAGCAATTCTGTGTGTCGTCTGATGAGTGTGGTGCCAGAGGTCTAATTTAAGTCCCATTCTCTTTACCACCCTTTTCTTATAAGGAGAGGATGGGAAGGGGAAATATCCTCTTTATGTTCGTCTCCTCCTCGGATAAGGATAGGCAACGCATCTGCAATTGCGGATGTCTATGGGCAGCGGTCTCTTCTCCATTTTGCCACCTTATGATATAAAAAAATATATATAGTATCCGATCGAAACTTTTTTTTTTCAGCCGAAATCGAACTCGGTATTGATCTCTGTTTCGAAACCGACATTTCCGAAAACATTTAAGATTATGGTTATGTATTAAACTTTAATGTATTTAAACACAAACATCTTACATACAGGTTCTTAATAGAGAACAAAAGCGTTGTAATTTATATTCAACGATTTTCGACATATATAATGTTATTTTGTATTTCAGATTTTTTGGCCGAAATTAAAATTAAGATCGAAATTATGCTGAAACCAAAAGTTATTGGTAGTTAGTTAATTAGTATCATAGACATAGACAAATACCATAGATTAATAGAGTAAGATTTGGAATTCTTGTATATTAAATTAACCAAAGATTAAAATTTAACTATCTTTTGCCAGCAACTTTAGTAAAATAGTAACTATAAAAAAAACAGAGTTATATAGTAAATACGATACCTTAACATGAGCGTATGCGGGGAAGTATATAGCACTGAAGGGCACATCCCTGAGAAGGCAGGCCTTCGCCCCCTTGTAGAGACCGAAGAGCCCAAGGTCCTTGACGACCGCCCAGGCCCGCACCTTGCCCCCGCCAGCTATCTCACCCGCCACTTGCAGACGGATCTTCACTATCTCCAGGGGATTGGTGAACACCACCTGGGAACCTCCGGCCTGGGGAGAAAAATATACTTTAGTGGGGAAAAATAGTCAGTAATATTCTAGTATCCCTTAACTCGGTACTAGCACTTGCTGGGTTGCTTGCTCCCTGAGAATATATATCAGGGGAGCGAAGAGCTTCAGAAGTCACCAAAAAAAAATTCTAGTATGTATTATACACGTTTCTGTCAGTTTTTAGCCAAGCTATTCCAAAAGTCGACAGAGATTTCATTAGTTTAATTATGTTATGTTAAAGAAATATGTTTTTTTTTAATTCTACGTCATCAACTGTATTATCGTTATAACCAGCTCACTGTACGTCACTGAGGGGCTCGGAACCTACCCAAAGTTAGGGTGACTAGGCCATAGTCAACCACACTAGCCATGTACGGTTTGGTTGACTTCACACATATCTTTAACTAAGACTAAATTATTTTTTTCCATAACAGCAGTATTCATAGGGAGTAAACTTAAGAATATTAGACTTTTAAAGAATTTAAAAAGTTGTAAAACCAGAGTGAATTGAATTGCATTAATCTAAGTAACACTTACACAGCCGCCGGCGAGAATCTCAGCGTACAAATTAATGTTGCCATTCTTATCCATAAATTTGTCACGAACGAAGTCGTTCACCTGCAAAATAGACAATTATTTTTTAAAGATTGCTGATATATACTATTATAAATAAGGTATAGCACTATTTATTGTCCAAAAAAACAAGAAAAAAAAATTCAAAACATGTGAATGAAATAAAAAAATCAATTCTTGGCCAAAAGGAACATGCTGATGCGGCCTTCAGCTTGTCACTGAAGGCCGCGCTATTTCTCGGTTTGAAGTGGGAAGATTTGTATTTTTGTATGTATTGAATTAACTTAAAAACTGGACAGATTTAAAAAATTCTATCACTATTAGGAAGCTAGCGCTGAGTAACATAGGCTATATTTTCATGTGGACTGCGAGCAACAGTTGGTCAAAAAATAAATGGGATTTTTAGAAATAGTCCATAGTACTAAACATATAGTGAGTTTACAAACTGACAGTCAATTTGATGGCCTTCTCCGGCGCGACTCCTATGAGCTGCGGCACGAGGCCGCGGTAGAGGCCGAACACTCCCTCGTGCCGGATGACCTTCTTGAAGCAGTCCCAGGAGTTGCGGTACGCCACCTCGCCTATGAAGGAGCCCGTGCGCTGGTTCTGCATGCGGGTCTTCACTAAATCTATGGGGTACACTGCTGACGCGCCCACGGCTGGAAACAACATTTTAAACTGACAACTGGCAAACTGATGTATGAAATTTTCGATAGATGGCGCTGCACTTTTTTTCAATAGCGATAAATGGCGCTACACTATTTTACAATAGCGATAGATGGCGCTGTTATAAAACTTGAGATTTGCGGTCTGATTGTACTATTTTGCAATAGTGATAGATTGCGCTGTTATAAAACTGAACCAAAGACAAAGTAACGATTGTTTTAGATTATCGAAAAGTGAAAAATGTATGAAAATGATTTACTTGTCTGTTCACATTTTGTGGGTAAATTAAGGACACTTTGTGTAAAACTGACTATTTGGGATTGAATTATTTTACACAGCTATTATGCTTCAAATTTACGTTTTAATACAAGGTTTCTTTAATATCATTAAAAGACTGTCGACATTCTGATAGAGTAACTTAGGTTTGAGGTAAGTAATGGTTAGACCAATAGAACCTTGGTCTTCAAACCAAAATAAAAACCAAAAATAACCAATGTAAATACCATCAAAGCTAGAATTTTCTTGCATAAAATCACAAGGTAAAGCGATGTATAAATAACTAACCTCCAGCAATCGAGCCGAGAGTGAATCTGTAAGTGCTCTCTAAGATTTGTATGAGAATGCTTCTTTCTTCAGGACTCTGGAACAAGGATAGGAGAATATTTACCTGCAACTGAACTGCCTGCGAGAGGATTATGATAGCGTGCAGGTTATAAACTATGGAAGTTACCACCGTTTTGTCTTAAATAAACGCCGTATTAACTTAACAACTTACAAAATTACGTCAATCATGATTATCCTCAAAATAATAATGTAATTTTAATAATAATCTATCTAGAAAATTTGTCTTCAGTCCTTTCCTTGTAATTTTTTTAACTAATTTTCGAAACACGTGACAAATGGATATTTAAAATTAGAAACGACCAAATAAATTAATTTATCATACGTTAAAGAGTAAATATTTGTATTTTTGTATGTATTCAAACTCAAAAACTAATGAGCCGATTTCGAATGTACTTTCACTAATAAATAGCTACGTTATCACTGAGTAACATAGGCTAAATGTATTTCCGCGCGGACGAATACGCGAGCAATAGCTAGCTATTCAGGATAATACAGTGCTTCTTCCATCGTTTATAACTTTTTACGTGTATGTTTTGATTGAGCGACTTTGTGGTTTTTAAATTGGATTTTCGTGTACTAAGATCTACAGAAGAGAAGGTGGAAGTGGATAGAAATGGAGTCGTGATGTTTTTACATACATATATAAAATAATAGATAAATTTTGAGTGATTTCAGCCGATTATAGTTCCCTATACGTATGTAAAATGTAATTTCAAACGTAGAGGGTAGTTAAAGTAGGGGTGAAATTTTGTACATTAATAGATTTAATATTTGTTTTGTTGAGGAGTTAAATAAGAAAAAATAATAATTTCTTTTGAAAAATATCGTAATTTTCAATAAAATATTAGTTCAAAATGTTTTCGTTTATAATAATAAAATATTCGCAAAGCTTTTATAAATAAGAAACTAAAGAAAATTGAAAACTTATCGTTGCTATAATTTTTAAGATCGATCCTTCCTTTGCAGGAAAACCACCAATTTTAAAATGGCAACATTTACATTATAACGTCATTTTGCAAAAAATCAAAATATCACCCCAATAAGAAAATACATAGAACCATCATAACCTGCAACCTTGTACTCACCAAAAGGTTTCCCACAAAGTCTATAAATCGAAAAGGCTCTTTACACATATTTACCTCCTCCTTTTGCGCATTGAAAGAAAGAGAAAAAACACACAGCTTTGAGTTAGTGATGTTTCTGCAAATTAACTAACAGTCTAAGAGCTAAACATACATTAGATTACAACGTGTGCACGGCTCCTGCTCTATTGGACGGTTGTCGTGTTAGAGCGGGACAGGTTGATCAGTCGCTAGGTGTGAAAGAGACGGGTATAGCTTACCGAGACCGCTTTGATTTCTGCAACTCTACGTGTCACTTGCTTGAAGTACTGCTCCGGTGTTATTGAGTTAAGATCGTTGTATACAATACGCCTGAAAGAGACATAATAAATAGAATTCACATACAACTTATCTTTTTTACTGCAATTACTTTCATTTATATTACTGTATGTCCTAAATAACTAGCACCAAGACGGAAACACCCTGGTTTCCTATAACACGGGCCTAGAGCATAATGTAGGAACCAGACGCTCGACCTGATATTATTAAGAGAAAAGATTTGTATTTTTTTTACTTTATTTGTAAATGTGGGTTCGTATTTTTTGTAAGTAATTTATTTCCTGTCATTTTGGTTTAAATTTGTAGCGACATTTTTAATCGATTTAAGAGTAAAAAATCTTAGGGCCTGTCCCACCACTGGCTGATAGAGGCTCAGATAGCTTAAAAATTAAGTCACAGATAAGGGAACAAAATCCCACATTTCCATCACATATCTAACAATCCAACTGTTATCAGACAATTTACAATTCGGTGGGACCGGCCCTTAATGGGATAAAGATAATGGTCTTACAAAATTCTATTAGCTTATCAAAAATAAACAAATGATACAAAAATACATACTTTTTTGATGAACATTCATTTACTTTCTATACTTTGTGAGTAGTGTTTCAAATACGATTTAAAATTGCTTAAATTAGTGAATAAATTCATTACAATTAGGATATTGTCTCTGGTAAGTTAAAATTCATTCATTCACTTTAGGGAATCGAATCGAATGTAGTATCATTCAACGAATGAATGAACGAGGATTTATCATACTTATATTTAAATGCGAAAGTTTAGATGAATGGATGGATGTTTGTTAGTTTGTAGTCTAAACTGCTGAAAGGATCTCGATGAAATTTGTCATAGACGTAGAGGATAGTCTGGAAGAATACATAGGCCACTCACTTTTCTTATTAAATTCCAAACGGACGGAGTCGCGGGCGATAGCTAGTTTAAGATAATCTTTAGAGATAGTGCATAATCCTGTAGGCTGTCAATAAGCGATTACAATTGAGATAAACATACTATGAGCTGATAAACATATCTTTTTCATATATAACTAATATAGGACATACAAGTTAGGTTTTGCATGAAAATATCACATCTTCAATTTTAATTGAACAGTCGTACTGTACAGTCAATCGTAGATGTGTAGGGAAATGTCAATTAAACTATAGAGTGGTCAGTTTAAATGAAAATATGTAACGGACTTTATAATTCTTACTAACATAAATTGAAGATATTTTTCAACTGTGATTTCAGTATTTTAGTTCTCACGTCTACTTTAGGTGTTTTGTGCATATAAAATATACCCTATGACACTCCAGAGAAGAAAACAAATCGAAAGACACCTTATTAGTAAAAAATCGGTTGAATCGTTTAGACTGTAGACTGTTACAACTGAATTTAAAAACAAACCCACATATAGTCGGGGAAACTGGCAGTGTAACTTAAAAGCTACAATTTGAACATTATGAAACGAGGCGCGAAACAAAAACCAATACAACGCAACGATGATGATAAAAATATAGTGAGATGATGATGATGATGATAATAATATAGTGAGATGATGATGATAACAATATAGTCAGATGATGACGACGATAACAACATAGTGAGATGATGATGATGATAATAATAATATAGTGAGATGATGATGATAACAATATAGTCAGATGATGACGATAACAACATAGTGAGATGATGATGATAACAATATAGTGAGATGATGATGATGACAATATAGTGAGATGATGATGACAATATAGTGAGATGATGATGATGATAACAATATAGTGAAATGATAATGATGATAACAATATAGTGCGATGATGATGATGACAATATAGTGAGATGATGATGATGATGATGACAATATAGTGAGATGATGATGATAATAATAATAATATAGCGAGATGATGACGATAACAATATAGTGAGATGATGATGATGATAACAATATAGTGAGATGATGATGATGACAATATAGTGAGATGATGATGATGATGATGACAATATAGTGAGATGATGATGATGATAACAATATAGTGGGATGATGATGATGATAACGATATAGTGAGATGATGATGATGATAACAATAAAGTGAGATTATGATGACAATATAGTGAGATGACGATGACATAAATCAAACTTAAACGTGAAATATTATTTAAAATACTCACCCATTAGTATGATGTATCATATCGCAGAGTGTAAATAAAATATCAACTTCTAAAGGAGTTATTTGGCTCATCATCTGTGCTGAGTGTAAGAATTCCTCTTTAGTGACCTCTTGTGTCCGATGTCCGTTTGTTGCATTCAGATATACTCGTTTTATTAATTCCATATTATTTAATAGTGAATTAAAAGCCATGTAATACGGAAAACTGATCTTCCTTTCACCTTGCGGGAAGCCGGAAGCCTGAAATGTTTAATTTTGGTTAAAAAATATACCCTTTTCATACATATTGATACATTTTTAATCAACTTCAAGAAGGTTCTTAATTCGTGTGTATGATTTTTTGTATAAAGCCAGTTAAACACCACCTATACAAATATAATAAAGCGTAAACACACACTACTTTGTGGCGTAATATGTCAGCAATCACAGCATATTTTTGAATAACCCCTTTTTTAATAAAAAATTTACAGTTACGTCACAAGACTATTTATTTTCACGCTATTAAACTTAGTGGATAATGATTTTGGAAAAAAAACCCTAATGTGGGAAAGGGACCATAAATTTCTGCCAACATCAAGGAAGCAAGATTGCCAAGGTTTGTCATGTCATGTCATTTTGACATTTGCTATTGATAATTTTACAAATATAAACAATAAAATAATTTTTTATGATTTCATGCGGATGAAGCCGCACGGGAACAGCTAGTCAATTATAATTGAACTGTCGGATTGGTCAATTAAAACTGAAAGTGCAGTTGGCTTTACTAATTAAGCCTATACTTTCAAAGACTTAGATTGCTCAGAAACAACTATATTTTTTAATGGAACAGTAATATCAATAGTTGGATCCTTCTCACTCATCCCTCACTTTTAACTAAAGAGTCGATTTGTTCAGTTAAAATAGCTAGAATACATACATACATCTACAACGAAGTTCACATTTCATGCAAGGAATGTGATGGAAAATTCCGTTTATAACAATGGGTATGAAATTTGATTCTTCAACCAAGTCTAGTAATTTGACTACCTACAAGTTTATAGCCATTGTTAAGTAAAATCGCATATCACTATCACGTACTTGATAAGTTGACAGAACGTGTTAATCACACGATAGTATAAATAGTGGACATTTACGTTTTATCTATATTCTAAAGAGAGCAAAAAATCTCACGTATTTTTGTAAGACATTGACTAGTTTTTTCATATGAAAATGGAGTTTTTTTTAACTTTTTACTATTTGGTTGTTATACCCGTTGCCAATAATTTGGCTACGGCATAATTCTGAAACGAATTTCGAATAATTCACTTCATAAGTTCCCTATAATCAGTAAAAATAATGGGTTTTGGAGTTTAAGCGTAGTTTAATTTTGACTCTTTAGTTAAGACTGTCAATAACTGACAATAACTAAAACTGTTATATCTTACTAATATTATAAATGCGAAAGTTTAGATGGATGAATGTTAAAGTTTATAATCTAAACGGCTGAACGGATCACGATGAAATTTGGCATAGATATAGAGAATAGTCTGGAAGAACACAGACTACTTTTGTTTTTTTTTAATTGCATGCGGAGGAAGTCACGGGCGAAAGCTAGTTAAAATAAAAAGCGACTTACATTAATAACCTTATTCTTCAAATCTTTAGTAAGCAGATGGTTTTTAACGGAAAGCATGATGTCTCTGAAGTCGGAAACGGTGATGAAGCCGCTGCCATCTTTGTCGCACTTCTTGAAGGCTTCCACGCCGTACTCCTCGTGGAAGTCGTGCAGGAACTGACTGAACTCGGGGTATGTCACCAGACGCTTCTTGTCCTTGCCGAAGTAAAGCCGGACGAAGGTGCTCTCCATGTTGAATGGTAACTTCTTGTGGAGTACCGTCTTACGCATCACCTCCGCGAACTCGTCTGGACATTATTTGTATGTAAAACAATCTTACTAATTTTAGTAATACTATAAATAGGATAGTTTGGATGGATGTTAGTTTAGTCTAAACTGATGGGTCTTGGTGAAATTTGGCACAGATGTAGATCAATTTTTATTTTTTATTAATTACACGCGGACGGAGTTGCGGGCGAAAGCTAGTAATGTTACAAATGCTTTTCCATGGATGGATGTTTGCTAGAGTTTGTAGCCTCAACTGCTGAAGCTCGATGTTGGCAAAGATGTAGAACATAGTCTGCAACGCATAGGCTATTTGTTTTTTTATTGCATGTAGAGTCGCGGGTGTAAGCTAGTAAAACAATACAGATAAATTGACTGTAAAAGGTTAACACATTTTTTCGACATTTACTGAAGATCTTTCTTCTGTAGGAAGACAGGATAATGTAGGCTTTGAACCACAAAAACCCCTCAGTGGAAAATTTTAACATGTATGCCTTCTGTGATAAGTACAATTTTTAACAAAAAATAAATTACAAACCGAGCACTTAGGCAGATCTTGCCCCTCTATCGCTCGTAACGTCCTCGCAGTCGCACACGCGAAATATTAAACGTTACACATAAAAAAAATCGTTTTTTTACTTAACTGTTACATTTACTATCTATGACGTCCGAAAAGCGCAAGCAAATTCAATACTTACCAAAGGCGACGAGCCCATTGCCATTCGTATCGAACAATTGGAAGGCGGTCTTGTAGAGTGCGTCCGGCACGCACAGCAGGCCCTCGAAGGCCTGGAACTCCGAGAACGAGATGTACCCGTCCTTATCCATATCGACGATGCCCGCAATGAGCTGGACCGATTCTTTGTTGTAATCATCTGCAAACAAAAATGAATACAAATTCTTACATTTTAAACATCAATTTCCTTTGAAAAACAATTGGATTTCAAGTTAGCGTTGCTAACGCCCTTTGCGACATTTTTATGACGCCCCATTATTGTTCGTAGCCCAATGGTGCCCTGGGCGATCGCCCTACCCTAATGCCAATGTTAACCGACATAGCCCTCTTTCTTTGGGACATAATTTTTAATCAATTGCTTGTACTCTCAGTAGGTAAATAAAGTATTTGCTTTTCTTTATCTGTCCATCTTCAATATTTATTTTTTACTTATTTAGTCAGTATTACAAAGTCCGACTACACAATATCGGTAAGATTATGAATCGAATGATACTTCGCACTTTATAATCGAACGATCTGTTAAGGCTAAGAGCGGTTACATTGGAGATATAACATAGAGTTATCAAGAACATAAAAACCCTGGAGGTGTTTCAATGGAATTCTATTTTTACATGACTTTCTATTATAATCTATGCAAAAATATCAGTTCCATTTTTCCGCAATACGACAAGGGTTATAATACTGGCCATTCTATATTTAAGAAAAAATTTATCAGTTTTGTATAAAAGGAAATTTATTACAAATTTTAAGGAAACGAAGTCTTTTTTAAATTAAATCTTCTAGGGAAGATTCTTTTAGCGTCTTTTGTATCAATTAAATAACTGTGAGGCAACATTATAAAAGTGAACAAACCTTCGTCAAATAATCCGAGATACTTCCGTACAAAATCCTCACTGGTGATAAGTTTCTCGCCGTTCTTCTCGACGGTGGCGTACTTCAGGAAGATCTCATTTAGTCGATCGGTGTCTGCCCTTTTTAAATAACCAGCCCCCTGAAACAAATATAGTACACAGACGTAAACAAAGTTAGTTGTCAATGTGTAGTTACTAAGTACTAAAGTAGATTTTATTAGATACAAGCAATAATAGACCTTATTACAATGAAAGAAGGCGCAATATCTATCAATGACTTTTAGATTTTGTGTTCGACTTTATTTTGTTGCATAAATTAATTTATCTCTTAACATATTTGTAAACGCAACAATCACATTACTAGTTGTACTTTAGTTTTGACGAAATTATTAGTAAAAACTTCAAAAAATTCCATATTAATCTAACTTGGGATAAATGAGAGATGAATTTTAAGCATGATGTTTAAGATTTTTGCATATTTATGTAATTCAAGGCCTTTAAGACATGTTATCAATCATTAGCGACTATAAATAACATAAAATGCACTATGTCAAGACGTCAAAGTATGCTTGCAACACTAACATAGTCAAAATAATTGCACTTATATCATAACCCCTATAAATTTTCATTAGCTGATCCCGTGCTGGTTCATCCATATGGAATTATGAAAACTTTATTTTACTGTTTACATTTGTCAAATTCTCAATTGCAAATGTCAAAATTACCGTTACTATAATAACCTTGCTTCCTGAATCTTCCTAAGCTTGTAGCTTATGGTCCCTTTCCCACATGAAGGGTTTATTATATTAATATAAATAACAATGCAAGCTAATGCAAAGTTTCAACACTAAAAACATAGATATATACATACTAGCTATCCTCCGCTACTGCATCCCCATGGAATAAAAAAAAATAAAAGCAAGTTTCTTCCAGACTATCCTCTACATCTATACCAAATTTCATGAAAATCCGTTCAGCTGTTTTGTCTACAAACTCTAACAAACATCCATCTAAACTTTCGGATTTATAATATTAGTATGAAGTATGATAGGCAGCCAATCCAGAGCACAAAAGACTCCCGAGGCTTTTTACTGAGATTAATTCTGTCATTGTACTTTACAATGCAAAATGACATTTGTATTGACTATAGATTAGATGTGAAACTGGTAGGAATGACTTCATATATTAGTTAATATCTATAAAACTATTGGTTATCTTATATCAGGATATGATAAGCATTTTGAATACAATAAGAATAATCAAATTTAATTCAAAATATGATTATATGATTAAATTGGAAGCCATATGAAATAGTACAATGGGCATTGAAGACAATTTGTGATCAGTAATTCTAAGTGTTGATTTCCACTGTTGAAATTATTGTACAAGAACATGCTGTCCTTATCATTTTCCTTGTATTAAAAACAATTCCTTGTATTTAAAACAATTAAGTCATAATGTGAATGTTAGAGTTTAAAACACTATTCTTTTAAATGTATGATAGAACAATTTAGCAATTCCTTGCTGAAAAAATAAACCAATCCTACTAAATATAAATGCGAAAGTTTAGATGGATGTTTGTTAGAGTTTGTAGTCTAAATGGCTCAACAGATTTCGATTAAATTTGTTGCAGATATAGCGGAGCCTGGAAAGACACATAGGCTACTCACTTTTGTTGTCTTTTAAAACCAAGCAGATGGAGTTGCTTGCGGAAGCTAATTATTCAATAACTTTAACCTTATTACTGCAATTTTATACCATAAAACTTCTGACAGTTATTTCTAATTATCTATGTAACTAATGTCACATAATTACTCAATCCACTTACATACATAAGGGTCAACTATAGTAATATTTGTTTGTTATTGCCTAATTATAAGAAACATCTGATAAGAACCTATAATATATTATGTAATAGAAACATGAAGAGTCTATATAGTTTTTTTTTATATTAATGTACATTTAGAAACAAAAAATCCTATTACAAGAGCATATTAAAAGTTTTTTTTATTCTGTTAACTTAACCTTTAAATGTTTGTACATTTTCACATTTGTCACATTAATTAAGCAAAAAACAAGGCATTTGTGATATCATTTAAAAAAAACTTGATTATTATTCATTGTTAAAGTTCATTTTGCTCCATGTATGGAAAATTTTTAATTACTCAGCTATTTTGCATGAAAACATATTTTATGTCACTAAAATTATACTTATTGGTTACAGGCATTGAAATATATGTGTTGTAGTTAAAAATAAATGAATTTTATGAATTATTAATGAAGGTCATGTGAACAATAGTTTTTTTTTTCACAAGAGCGAACAGATTTCAGCCAGTATTTGTACTCTATTTTGTATAGACATTAATTAAAATCAGTTTTAAAAGAATCTCTACATGTAGAAAGAATTATAAAACTTCTTTTTAGTTATTTTTTTTATTTAAGCCAGACGTTTTTTTTTTAATTCAATCTCTGGCAGCTTTATGCCGGACACAGATAGTTAAATGTAAAAATTGTACTTTTCCTTCGTACAAAATATTCCTAAAATGTAATTGTGCATATGTAACTCAATAATGTTAACCAAACCCAAACTTATACATATTTAACCACATTTTCCATCACAATTTAACCACTTTACAAAACACTCACACACCAATACTCGAGAACCAGATGTTTAAACAAGTTTTAACTTAAAAGTTATAAAATAATAACATATTACCCGACGTGGAATCATTTTGTTACGAAGTCTTCGATTAAACTGAATTGTAGTGATATTGTGCTTGACGTAACTGATAAGACTATCTTGTGTACCGAAGTCACATCTAACTTTGCCATATTACTGGTATCACTATAGGGTGGTGAATTCCATTTCGAGTGCAATATTCCTATTTTAAAATTCAAGCCATTATAATTGGGTAAGTGAGAACCCCTGGATAATTAAAAAAAAATTTACATAGCACAGAAGGTCAAAAAGGTTAGACATTGATTATCTAACAAATTGTCATATGTATAATATACAGTAACAAAAGTGTATCATAGAAAGCAATAAGAATTAAGACCTAAATCTACTGTTTGATACGGTTAACTACATATAACTAGAATACCGCATCATTGACGTTACGTATATTTTCAAGGGCAGACACTTCAAGGGCAATCCTACCATTAAAAAAAATTACAAAACAGCAAAAGAATCCGTTTTTTACAGTTTCATATTAAATGATTCAAAAATGGAACTATTAAACCTCTCAAAATATGCAAAAACTTACCCACCTCTTGACAGCTGGCCTTAGTTATCAGAGAATTTAACAAAGATTTAAACATTACAATGTTTTTGTCACTACAATAATGTTTTCTCTCAAAAATTAAACTGTTGTTTTACTTAGTAACGATCGATTAAAGTTCGTTTGCCCTGATAATACGTCACAAAATATAAAAATCACAATTCTATTTTAGATCTGCACGCACTGTGCTCATGATCGCCAAAGCCGGGCGGTGTGGTAGTGTGCTAAAATGCGTTCAGTAATTCGTTAACATTTAGGGTTGACTACTGCTATTTTAACAAACGATAACGAAACAATTGTAATTATTTCTGTTTATCACAGTTTAATACCATTATAAATTCAAATTAAGACTATATAAACGTTGACGAAGTGATATTTGCTCCGGAATATTTTTAACGTGTGAATGTCAATATTTTTTTTTGGAACAATTTGTAATCCTTCCAATAATGCAGCTATAGTGCAATTAAATTGAACATATTTTTTTAGATGAGATATAAAGTTGTTGATGTCTCCAGGAGGTCTAAGTATTTGTAACTTCAAAAATAGTAGGAAAACAATGTGGTAGAAAATTATTACTTGAACTATTTTCTGCTGCAACCCTATCTTATGGTAATAATTATCACTTGAACTTGACCACCATGCGATTACGTTTTGACAGATTCTTTATCATTAAATGTAAACACCGTCACCGACGGCTTCAACTTGAGATGGATGGCTATGATTAAATTATTTTGAACAGATGTAATTTTTTCAAATAGAAATGGAAAGTGGAATATTTTAAGTCGAGTACTGATTTAAATAATTAAAAATATAGTACTGACAACTAATGATTACATTTACGTTAAATTTGACCTTGACATTTATCTGATCTCTTAGTTTACATTAAAACGTAATAATGCTAATGAAGGTTTTTACTAAACCTGCTACAATTAATTTAATTTAATACTAACAAAGGGAATGTAAAAACAGCCGCTTACGTAATATATCTTTTGACTTTGATGATGTTAAAAAATATTCATATAAACATTACGTAACTTTTTATAATGTGATATTTCAATACCATGTCAAATTAAAAATTATTTTAAAGTACCATCTTTTGGGATGAAATACAAAAGATTAGACTTTATCTTAATGTAGTGTTACAATAACGCCATAGATGTCGTTGTCTGTAAAAATAGTATCATTGTTGCAATATTAACGCAAATATTGTTATTTATTATTAAATTTTAATGGAAAATTACCGTGTATAATAATAAGTAAAAAAGAAGTTATAAAATATTAGTTATAGTAAAAACAAGCTTCTCAATAAAAATAAAAAATAAGAACGTGAAATATTAATTTACTGAAAATGAAAAGCTTTTTCGTATTATAATAAAAAATCAAATCGATTTTTTTATCAGTTTTTAATCTTAATGCCCAGAGTCCATTGTTACGTTAAAGAAAAAAATACAATTCACGATGAAATGTTACTTTTTTAAAAGTCATCATGATACTAAATAAAGGTACTTCTGTTGCAGATGTAGTGTGGTCGGAAATAATGGACGTTGGTAACTCAGCACCACGAGGTATGGTGGTGACCCCACACCATCTGGCCACACAAAGCGCAGTTAAGATATTAAGAAGTGGTGGTACTGCTATGGAAGCTGCTGTTGCTGCAGCT